CATTTCCATCGACTGCAGGATTTGCAAAGCATGTGTTCTGTCGATTGGGCGTCGACAGATATATTCCAAATCTCTTCATGTTTTAAATCAAGGTGCTCAAAATGATTTCATGCACCTCGTTTTATTACCACATACTTCTTGATTATTGATCAGATCGTCTTGATTGGGCACCGCCATTTTGCTTCAAGCAAATGCAAGTGATATGAGAGGTGGTATCTGATTGGTCAATAGGATGGACATAGAATGGACATAACTCGTAATAGTCACTGGTGGCGCTATGATCGAGCCACGAAATTCCAGTATAGTTCAACGAGGGTGGAAACTGGACGTTTGTAGTCAGTTAACACCCTTGCCTCAGGAAGATGTTGTCAGTAGTAAATGGGTATTGGTCTGACATCCGTATTGCAATTTATTGCAATAATGATACATATATTGCAATACGTACAATATATCTTATGCATCGTACAATTAAAGGTGAAACGATACACCGATATTCCGATGCATCGCGATGCTTGACACACAATACCATATACGATAAACTTGGGCCCATTTATCGATACGCCACAATACGGAACGCAAATCTCAAGCACAGCGTTTCCTCGATATTGTGCCTTTCAATAAACCGCTAACTTGGTTATATGCGCGGTAACACATGGCTCCCAAAAACGTACATACACTTTTTCAATAAGTTCAGGTTTTACACTGACAGATGTTTTTCCCCATCTCAAAAAACATTATCAGCTGATCACCGCAAGCACATAGCACCAGAAATACCAGTCAGCAAATCGGAACTGAAGTACCATTATTATACTTTCTTGTTATTAAAACATGTTCATTGTATATCTGGACTTGTGTTTTTTTTATATTTTATTTATCTTATTCAAAATTTCATTTAATATTGTTTTCATTAAGTTAGGTGAAATCGTGTGTGAAGAGATACAGCAACCACGGTCAGATTACCACTTTTTATGCATTGAAACAAACTTTAGTTCCTCGAGAATGGATACATATATTAAAAATGCCATACTTTGACTCGTTAAAAGTCATATCTGTGGCAATCTGGCTAATATATGTCAACATAACGTTTTCGCAATCGAAATACATGTAGCCCTGGAAGTCCCTACGGTGACTGGTCAAATTGTTCCATATGTAAAAATATCCTGCAACAGCAATCACCAGTACCAAAACGGGTAATACCGTGCACCTCTTATTGTCAGTATATTACATATTGTGATACATATTCATCAGTATTCATATCGTGGTATACGGGTAATACCGTGCACCTCTTATTGTCAGTATATTACATATTGTGATACATATTCATCAGTATTCATATCGTGGTATACGGGTAATACCGTGCACCTCTTATTGTCAGTATATTACATATTGTGATACATATTCATCAGTATTTATATCGTGGTATATGGGTAATACCGTGCACCTCTTATTGTCAGTATATTACATATTGTGATACATATTCATCAGTATTCTTATCGTGGTATACGGGTAATACCGTGCACCTCTTATTGTCAGTATATTACATATTCAGAGTATGAAGCTGCACAAACAGCCTGGTCACTCTATAGTAATGCAGTAGGGATCATTGTCAAATTGGGTACTACACATATGTACCCCAGGTACTTTCCAATATACTAAAATACACCCTACTAAAACAAGTATTTGTGACGAAATGTCCCCCGCCTGTATATACACCATAGTACGAAATATGAAGACAATCCAGCGATTAGTTCTTGAGATATTGCGGCAACACCGTTTTCCAACTCCAAAAGCAGATTTGCCTGCTGTGACCTTGAAAATGGGGTCAAGGTCACCAAAACCGACTGGTGTCTGCGGAGTCTGTATATACACCATAGTTCCAAATATGAAGACAATCAAGTGTTTAGTTCTTGAGATATCGCGGCAACACCGTTTTCCAACTCCAAAAGCAGATTTGCCTGCTGTGACCTTGAAAATGGGGTCAAGGTCACCAAAACCGACTGGTGTCTGCGGAGTCTGTATATACACCATAGTTCCAAATATGAAGACAATCCAGCAAATAGGTCTTGAGATATCGCGGCAACACCGTTTTCCAACTCCAAAAGCAGATTTGCCTGCTGTGACCTTGAAAATGGGGTCAAGGTCACCAAAACCGACTGGTGTCTGTGGAATTTGTATATACACCATAGTTCCAAATATGAAGACAATCCAGTGTTAAGTTCTTGAGATATCGCGGCAACAAACAGGTGGGACGTACGGACGGTCGTGAATACTATATCCCCCGCTTCGCGCTTTCGCGCGACGGGGGACAATCAGAACACACAATTGTACCTAGTTTGGCAACTTTTTCCTCCGGAGCCGGGATGAATCTACCATATTTTTCCAAAGCACAAAACTATTTCTTTTTACAAGACAGTCCATAGTTTCTTGTCTAAACTACAGGTTACTAGTACCCGGTAAGGCGGTAACAATTATCAAAAAAGGTTTAGTTTCCCCAATGTCTGAACTAAGTTAGCTCACCACCACTCGATCTCTAAAAAACCATTTAACCTGCCCAGGTGCACTTATTATGGCAAATACAGTACTTGGTAGTCTATACTTCCTAAATGACTTTCAATATTGTGTTAAACCTATATCTATTTTTTACCGGACTCACTGGTTCAAAATGACCCAACATGAACATTCAACCATGTGGAGATGGACATTAACATCAAGTAAAAAAAGTTTATCATTACAAACGTCTTTGGACTACAAAGATGCTCGTCTTAATATACAAATGTAGATAGTTGAGAATTGTCAATACATACATTCTTTCATTTCGAAATGTTCCATTTATTATTTGTTTGTTTGTTGTTTAACGCTGCACTCAGCAATATTCCAGCTATATGACGGCGGTCTGTAAATAATCGAGTCTGGACCAGACAATCCAGTGATTGACATCATGAGCATCGATCCGCGCAATTGGGATCGATGATATGTATCAACCAAGTCAGCGAGCCTGACCACCTGATCCCGTTAGTCGCCTTTTACAACAAGCATAGTCGCCTTTTACTCCATTTATTAAAGACCCAACACATATTAGGCAAAAATAAATTTCAGCTTTTTGGTAATACTAAACACTAGTTTGGGAATCGGCCTGAAAAATTATAATCGATAATTTATCAACACTGAACGTTAATGAACTCAGAAGTTTGTGGTCATGATTTACTTTGCGGTGGTTTTCCATGTCAACTTGAGTTATTTGAGCACTCTCTAACCTTTCATTAATAAATGTTTTCTTTCTTATGGAATGTCATCATTCATTAATTTTGTTTGTTTGTTGTTTAATGCCGCACTAAGCAATATTCCAGCTATATGACAGCAGTCTGTAAATAATCGAGTCTGGACCAGACAATCCAGTGATTGACATCATGAGCATCGAACCATGCAATTGGGATACGATGACAGGCATCAACCAAGTCAGCGTGCCTGACCACCTAAACCACTGTTGGCTTACTTGACATATCTTATCAGCATAATCATTCTTCAAACAGAGACAGGAAATATTTATCTGTTAAAGAGGTACGCTTCATTCCTATCTTCCCAACAAGTGCTTTCAGTTTATTAGCCAAATTTTATCAAATATTCGCTCTGTGTCTACATCAATATTTTACAGGACCATCATTTTATAAAACATATTTCAGTCTAAACAAATGAAAGCAAAGCATTCTTAGTGCATCAGTGAATTAGGAGATATACCTACTGCGTTTTGAAATTTGAGGGTGTATCACTGTAGATTCAATACCTATTATTTATCAGTTGGAACCAAATGCTTTGATACCTTATTTTAACCAATCAGAATCAAGCATTCTTCAATGCCATTGTAGAATTCGGTTTATATGCCAGCATACCCAATTTTATATAAACCGACAATATAGGTGACACATGTTTGTTAGGTAGATATTCACTGCTCGCTCACACATAGCTGCTGTCAGGATATGACAAACATATTTAACAAACATGAAAACAAACATGAAGACAAACAGTCAAAAACTCTGCTGTGATGCACTGAAATTGATTGTGCAAAGCCACAATATGAGTGACATACTAATAACAAAATAATGTTGATATATCAAAGTGCATTGCTGTTTCGGTGAATCCCATTTCTAAATAATTAAAGATTAATTGTTTTCAAGTTTGATTTATCATCTATCCATTTGACAGCTGATTTATCAGAATAATAATCAATAATGTTTGTGTTCCATAAGCAGCCTTCTCTCAAAATTGCTGAGTGTGAAAAGAATATATTACCAGATATGGCCAGAGGTGTTCCAGTTAATTGTCATAATCGAAGAATGATTGGAAGGTCCAAACGAGCAAGCAGTCGAATGCAATTTTCCATAATTCAACCTAAACATTATAACATATATGAGATACACTCTACCTAATTCCTATACAATATAATCCGTATTTCATATGTTTAAGCAAGTTACCACGATATTGATTCAGTTGACATTAATAACACATAGAAACATGACGTTACTTTACATTTATAGAAAGAGGTTAGTTTCTGAATAAATTTTTAACTGAATTTTCAAGCATAGCAATGAATTTTCACTGTTTATGCCTCTTATGTCATAGTGTTGTTTTAACAGTATGCCAGAACCGATCCCTTGCAATGATTTTTATTGGTATGGACATTGATCAATATTATCGTAGAGATATTGAGCATGTTGAGCACAAAGGCCAATTCAGCATTCAGATTCAAACACTAAATTAAACCCTCAATATTTTACTGATTCCAAATCTAACTGTGCCACAGGTACACACGCTTACTTAGTCTGGTGACGAGACACACAACCGAAAGCTATTATGGAGACTTAACAATGCTGACAACCAACAACAGTGATAGAGTCTCCAGTGCTCCCCATACAGTGCTGTGCTAGATAGCAAATATACAGCAGAAGGCACAATTTTGTTATGTCTGGAAAGATATAATGGCATTATCAGGAAGTAGGTCTTACCAAACAGGTCCACAATGTCTCTTACTCATCTTGCGATGTTGATGACAATACAATCAATACTCTTAAACTTGCTCTGTAAAAACCTAATTAGGTCGGGCTGACCTCATCATCGTTTAAGGAAATCCCAATTTCTACATCCATCGAAAAAACGCCATATTCTTCATCCATGGTATCCTAAAAGGTCAACACTGGATCACGGCTGATTTTAAAGCACTTGAAGACATGGAGTTAGGCACTTGTGCATTGGGTGGTGTAAGGCATCGGTGCAACACAGACGAGGCAGTAAAGCTGATGCAGGCAGGGACGGCTTCAGTGCAGTTTCAAGACACAACAGTCTAACATGGTGTTATTATCACAGTGCTGTAGAAAATCCCCTTGATGCCAGCTTCAGTAACAGCACCAGGAAAGCGCAGGACGATGAAGTAATGAGGCTGGCGATGTGATGTCACCCACACATGTCCGCTGGAACTACATGCATGCACGTACTGCACTCAGAATAACTGTCTGCCATCATGCTAATGCACCTCCATCTTTATGAAGCATGGGAATGAAACAGATCCGACAGAAGAGTCAGGAGAGTCGCCAGAGGTTATACCAATCATGCAGAACCATCAATGCATGACCTCTATGATTCACAGTTCGTCTGCTCAACACGGGAACCAGCACACAAGTCCTCGACCCTACATTCAGTGTAGATGAATCATTAATAGCAGACTGAACACAAATGCTGCCTAATAATTTTGTTTCTAGGGAACTCCGGAGTAGATGAAATTGATTATTTCTGTGAGCGAGCTCAGTTCACTGTTTGAGCGAGATGATGACAAACTACAGCACCGTTCAATGAAAGGATTTGCAGGCTCATCAGCAAAGAAAGCTAGTGCCTGCCGCTAAGATACCAGCACAGTCCCTGCCGCTTTGCTAAGATCTGAAACTCTCCAGCTTAAACTAGAAACCAATCTTCCTTCATGCCAAGCTACCTTAATGCTTGACAGCTTCAGCTATTGTGATATATATATAGAGTGACATGAAAATGGCTCTTAACAATGCTCAATGCTGAATTATTTCCATCACCCCGTCTCATCAAATTACTTCCCTGTCAAATCATCCAATAATAGGCATTACACTCACATCAATAACAAAAAGTATCCAAGTTTCATTCATTTGGAGGAAATACCCAAAGTTTACTGATTCCTTTGAAAACGCTTGGGGAGTTTTCAAAGCTTATTCAAAAATAGCACAAATTTCCTGATCCTATAGATTAAACTGATAGTTGTCAGTATGACCAAATAATAGGTAGCAGGTGGTCAATAAATGCAGATAAATATTTCCATGGCCAAAGAAACTCCTTCCACATAATTAAACTACACATGTCTGAATACAATCCCGGATAAGAAATAACAGTATCCAAGTTCCTGGCTGTTCTAAGCCAGAAGTTTACCAGACTTCACTTGTGAGACATAAATCAATTACTGGTGGGGGAAGGGGACGTTTTGTTAATGACACTACAGATGGGGGAATCAATACATGGGGGAGATGAGTGACCAGGGCCGACAGCTGGCCCAGGATCAATCACAACCAAAGAGAGAGGAGCCTCATCATACGTCCCCTTGTCATCAGCCGACTTCAGTGAGGGGTCTGAGGTTTTATGCTATAGTCACCAACCGTTTTTTATTAGTTTCTTATGAAATATAAATAAACTTAGACCCTTCATGTTCTTATTTTGTTTTTGAACAATGTTGTCAGAAATTACAGATATAGGGTCGATAGGATACGGGTAAGAAAAATAATTTCTCAAAAGTTCTATTTTCCTTTAGACATGTTAGACATTTTGTGAAGTGTGAAATAGAAACAACAAGCATATAGTCAGCGAAATATAAATTTCTAAAATTCCTAAATAAGAAAAAAGGCACCAGTTCAGCATGAGTCTGATAGACATGCAAAGTGTCGTAGGGAAATATTTAACGGTTTCTGAGTTATGCTCCGGAAACGATTTCGGGACGCACGCACACACGGATGCACGGACTGATGGAACCCATTTCAATATTTCCCACCAACTTTGTTGGGGCGGGGGATAAAAAGGCATAAACTGTGCAAAACATTGCAGGTCATTGAGCACTTGTCTTAGTCAGGTAGGAGGAAAAAGGTTATTTTATATTTACAAGTGTAATTGTCAGGTTTGGCTTTAATCACGTTCATATAAATAAAAAAGCTTTTCCAAACTCCTTTTTTTTCAGTTGGGAGGATCCGTTAAAACAAATATTATACATCAAAGGTCCTACTGCTGTGTCCCTGCAGTGAAGCAGATGAGCCTGTGATAGACAGTGGGAGCACTGACAAGGGAGGTAACTATCTGGGATTTGTTTGTTTGTTGTTTAACGCCGCACTCAGTAATATATAGGCTATATGACAGCGGTCTGTAAATAATCGTTTCTGGACCAGACAATCCAGTGATTGACATCATGAGCATCGATACACATAATTGGGATATGCATCAACCAAGTCAGCAAGTCTGACCACCTGATCCCATTAGTCACCTCTTACGACAATCATAGTTGCTTTTTAGCATTGTTTAGGGCAAGCACGGGTTGCTGAAGACCTATTCTACTCCAGATCTTCATGGGTTAACTATGTCTGAAGGAATGTTTGGTTTTTGTGTCACTTTCTGATTAAGGCAGGAATCAAGAATGGACTTCACACATTTTAACCATGTAAGGAATTGAACCTGGATCTCCGGCAGGAAGAGCCAACACCTTAACTTTTCCCCTCCACCACGTTTCCTTTAATGAAGCTCATTGCCACAATATGATACGGCTCTCTATAATGACAGTACGGTTGCAATTATTTTTTTAAATATGATACATGAAAGTATCATCAGAAAGCGGCATATTCGATCAAAGAATGCCCACCCAACATTTGTATATAACATTTGAGCCAATTAATATGATTAAACATGTTTAACTAGCAATGTTTTGAGAACTCTTGACAATATTATCAGAAACTAGTATTTGACACTTAATTTTCATACCATACAATAATACACAATTGAACACATATAACATGTATAAGCATCTTCATCTTGCCTCCATGTCAGAATGCTGACATCTGATTGGTTCACGTGATCTTGATAAAATACTGTGTAACCTGCCTTGGAGGGTAATAAATTTCTCAACCAGAGAATAAATCTCTTATACCCCACCATGAGCCATACAGGCTGCATGTGAAAAGCAAAAAGCCGCACGCTTTTTCCGAGTCGATGAAAGTCATGTAACCTCAGCTCAACATTTGCTTAATCGAACAGGTGTTTTCTATCAATTTTGAATTTGTGTTACTTCTTTTACAATTTCACATTAAAACATGTTGGTGAGATAAATTCGTTAAAACAGGATCACAAGGGGTACATGGGGTTTTATGGGTCCCTCGTTAAGTTTAAAACCTAATGTGGGACGCGTAAAACCCCATGTACTCCTTGTGATCCTGCTACAACTTAAATTGTATCCGGCCTGGAAGGGAAATGACTTTCTGAGCAGGAGAATATATCTCTTATACCCCGCCATGAAGAAAACAGGCTGCAAATGGATTTCTGAGGGGGAGAATATATTCCTGGCCACGAAGAAAAAAGCTGCATGTTGCTACTGAGTCAATGAAAGTCAAGTGACACAGCACAAGTTAACCAAGGTTCAACAGACATTTCTATCAGTTTTCAGTTTGTTCTAATTCTTTTTCAAAGGCGATTGAAACGTGTCAGCAAGATAAATTCATTGAAGCAGTATCACAAGGGCTCATGTGGTTTTATTCGTCCAACTTTAGGTTTTATACGAGCCATAAGTGACTGGTATCAAACCTATATCAAATACATATAAGTTATAACCACACTTACCCATTGTGATACTGCTACAACTTATAGTGTGGCCCTTCAATCATGTTTGTAGTAACGACATCATTTTCAGTGCTTACATAAGCCCAGTGCAGTACAACATACACACGTGAAGTCCTTTGCCTCTGTCTACTCTACCTTAATAAGATAGGTATATGCAGGTTTAGTGAACTTGACCAGTCTATCACATGGAAGAAGATTTCAAGACATGGGTTATAGTGGTACAACAAATATGATGTCTCCAAACCCTCAGATTGAAACTGCTTACAAGTCATTTCAAGACATTTCACACAACCATGACACATGGACAAGCTTTAATCCCTAATTCACACTGAGTGAACTAGGAAATTGCACAGCACATCAAACACCATGAACACATTTTAACCCTAGAGAGAGGGGAATTACCCAGTGGGAGATTTTTTTCATTAGGGGGACAATTTCGCCTGTCATTTTTTATCATCTGTTTTACCTTATTTCCTTTTTTCAGACTAGCTTTTTGTCCAGCATTTGTGTTTAAGTATGTCCTAAAGTATTTAAATCTGCAAAGTTATGTTGAATTTACTTGCCCTTAAATGTGAGAGGAAAGCCTGAAGAGATGCAGGTCTTAGATGTTTACCACTTTGATCAGATGTATGGTGCTGACATACCAAGAATCATCATCAATAGGGCAAATGTTGGATTTGAACACACTCTAGGATTTTGGCACGCGTTAGGGATGCAACTGTGGCACTTTAGTTGCCCTATAACATGGCTACCTGTACATGCGGTATAATCATGATAGGTGTCTCACCTGGAACCGTTGTTGAAGCAGCTCTGGCAAGCACATCCGCAGTCCTGAAAATACAGACATCATCTTCACCACAACACAAATGATTAGGGAGAAGACAACATGAACGATCTTGCATAAATTACATTCAAAGCCAGTGGAAAACAATGTCACGACATGAGGCTACCCCACCTACCAACCATACAGGGGACAGAAGTTTTGCCAAGGCAGGGCCCATTCTATGGAACGAACTTCCAAACAAAATACAGTGAGTGAGTGAGTGAGTATGGTTTTACGCCGCTTTTAGCAATATTCCAGCAATATCACAGCGGGAGACACCAGAAATGGGCTTCACACATTGTACCCATGTCAGGAATCAAACCCGGATCTTCGGTGTGACGAGCGAACGCTTTTACCACTAGGCTACCCGACCGCCCACCAAACGAAATACAAAGAATCAGTGACTTCATCTCATTCCAGATGGAACCAAGACTATCCTCTTCCATTAAGCCTAAGACTAGCCCCACTGAGCAACTGTTATATACAAACTTGTCTATTAGCAATGATTAGGGCTGTTACGATTCACTTATGTATTCGGTGAATCAACCCGTATCCCTTAATGAATTGAATTTGTAATCCATGGTCACAAGAATCGAATATTTACAACAACAAAAAGGTTACAAAGATTCTGTTTTACTTGAAGTTGTCTGTTATTTATCAAAGCAAGATATGCAAAATGGAATATATACAAGCCATGCAGTAGTCTGTTGTATGTGGGGCGGTGTGGGGGGCTGTCGGGTAGCCTAGTGGTTAAAGTGTTCTGTCATCATGCTGAAGACCAGGGTTCGATTCCCCACATGGGTACAATGTGTGAAGCCCATTTCTGGTGTCCCCCGCCGTGATATTGTTGGAATATTGCTTAAAGCGGCGTAAAACCATACCCACTCACTCACTCACCCACTGTTGTGTGGGTCATCTACAACTCCACCTCGTTAAACAGCTGATTGTTCATAACACTCATCAATTACCACAAATGTAGCGTTGTAGCGAGCGGTCATTGTATATTATTGCAACCATGGTTATGCAGTCATGTGCATTTACATACCCTGTACCTAAACATATCCTTATTATATGCAAACGTAGATTTCTTCAAAGACAACACTCTTTTTTATAATTTGACAGAAATGTGGTCACTGGTCATTGTTGTTTTTGAGCAGATACTAGTACCTGGATAAGCGCAGTATATTAATGCATAATGTGATAATATTAAGTAACACTGTCA